AGTTCCCTGAATTCCTGAAACTTAGTTCCCTAAACTCTGATTCACTTTACTTTTTTTGTGCTTAAAACTGGAAACAAGCCATTTTTGGATACCATTTCTCTGGTGCATTTGATTTAATATTCTTGTAATATTAAACCCTTTCTTTAAGAAAAATGAAGAAACGATTGCGCTGGGAATAGTGGAGTTTACAAATTTTCTAGCGGAAAGCACGACTCTACTTACTTTTTCTTTAGTTTTAGATTTGAAAAGATATGGTAATAAGTACGGAGCCATGATTTATGTGCAATTTTGTTTTTGTTAGTTGGGTTCTAACAGTGTGTTGTTAGTTGGGGTTCTATTGTTGGGTTGTGGGGTTCTTGACAGTGTGTTGTTAGCTGGGTTCCCATTGTTAGTCTGTTGTTCTGACAGTGTTTTGTTGTTGGGGTTAGCCCTATTGTTAGTTGTGTTCTGACAGTGTGTTGTTAGTTGGGTTCTATTGTTAGTTTGTTTGTTCTAACAGTGTGTTGTTAGTTGGGTCTCTATTGTTAGTTGTGTTCTAACAGTGTGTTGTTAGTTGGGTCTCTATTGTTATTTGTGTTCTGACAGTGTGTGTTGTTAGTTGGGCCCTATTGTTAGTTGTGTTCTTTGACAGTGTAAGTGTTGTTAGTTTTGTCTCTATTGTTAGTTGTGCTCTGACAGTGTGTTGTTAGTTGGGTTCTATTGTTAGTTTGTTGTTCTGACAGTTGTTTGTTGTTAGTTGGGTTCCTATTGTTAGTTGTGTTCTGACAGGTGTATGTTAGTTGGGTTTCCCTAATGACTGTGTGTTGTTAGCTTGTGTTCCTAACAGGAGTGTGTTGTTAGTTGATGTGCTTCTCTAACTAAAATGTTTCGGAATTTTCTGGTGCAGTCGTAGATATCGGAACAAAAGCAAAACATACAAACCCTGGATCATGTTGGAACTTGTTAATAGCCTATAGCTTTGAAAATATCCTGAAATCTCTTTACTATGGAAACTCGTGTTAACTTAAGAAATCAAATCAAATGTGTTTTTTGTTGTTAATCAATAAGAATCCTAACTTATAAGTGCTTTAAAAGAAAAAAAAGTCGTAAAGATTCGAAAGGAAAGAGTCAAAATGATTTTAAATGATTTTAAATGATTCTATTATTAGGTTGTCCAATAAGTAATGCGTGTTTTGACACGATTTTCAAAATATCACAAAATTAACAAAAGAGAACTCTTATTAATCGATATATTCCTCCACAACAATCATCAACAACATTTCTCCATCGTCCGAGCAAAGAGTGAAGTCCGTCATAATAAGAATGAAGCTGGTTCTCGATGAGTAACATCGAAATAAGTAACACGCATTACTTATTGGACAACCTAATAAATGATTTTAAAATGGTTTTAACGATTTTTAAATGATTTTTAAATGACTTTAAATGATTTTAAATGATTGCAAATGATCTCTACATGATTTTAAATGATTCTACATGATTTTAAATGATTTTAAATGATTTTAAAATGATTTTAAATGATTTTAAAATGATTTTAAATGATTTTAAATGGTTTTAAACGATTTTAAATGATTTTAAATGATTTTTAAATGATTTTAAATGATTTTAAATGACTTGTAAACGATGATTTTTAAATGATTTTAAATGATTTTAAATGATTTTAAAATGGTTTTAAACGATTTTAAAATGATTTTAAATGATTTTAAACGATTTTAAAATGATTCGAAAATGATTTTTAAATGATTTTAAATGATTTTTAAACGATTCTAAATGCTTTAAACGATTTTTCTTAAATGATTTAAACTGATTTCAAAATGATTTTAAACGATTTTTAAATGATTCGAAATGATTTTAATGATTGGGTAATCAGCTAAAACCATAGGTCATAAAATCATTTAAACATTTAAATCATCATTTCGAATTCGTTTAAAATCGATCATTTAAAATCGTTAAATCATTTAAAACGCTGTACGCAACATAAAATCATTTAAAACAGCTGAACAGGCGTTTAAAATCATTAAAATCATTTAAAATCAGCGAAACATTTAAAATCATTTAAAATCATAAAAATCATTTAAAATCATCAGCTAAGTCATTTAAAATCATTTAAAACGTTAAAAATCATTTAAAATCGAGCGGTAATCGTTTAAAACTGCTGTGTCCCATTTAAAATCATTTAAAATCATTTAAAATCATTAAAACATGTGAATCGAGCGAACAGGTAGAATCGCGCTTGTCGCTTAAACAGCTTAAAATCAGCGAAAACTGTTGTAACATTTATACAGGTCACCAATAAGTAAATACTTAATACTTATTACAACCTAATAAATGATTTTAAATGGTTTTAAACGATTTTAAATGATTTTTAAATGACTTTTAAATGATTTTAAATGATTATAAATGATCTACATGATTTTTAAATGATTCTACATGATTTTAAATGATTTTAAAATGATTTTTAAATGATTTTAATGATTTTAAATGATTTTAAATGATTTTAAATGGTTTTTAAACGATTTTAAATGATTTTAAATGATTTTAAATGATTTTAAAATGATTTTAAATGACTTTAAACGATGATTTTAATGATTTTAAATGATTTTAAATGATTTTAAATGGTTTTTTAAACGATTTTAAATGATTTTAAATGATTTAAACGATTTTCAATGATCTTCGAAACGATTTTAAATGATTTTAAATGATTTTAAACGATTCTAAATGTTTTAAACGGTTTTAAATGATTTTTAAAACGATTTTAAATGATTTTAAAACGATTTTAAATGATCTGAAATGATTTTAAATGATTTTAAATGATTTTAAATGATTTTTAAATGATTTAAATGGTTTTAAACGATTCTAAAATGATTTTAAATGATTTTAAATGACTTTAACTGGATACTTTGAGACTAAAACTCTCAAAAAGATAAAAAGGCTCAAAAAATCCGTCAAAAATCGTTAAAAATTCGTCAACAAAATCTCATCGAAAAATTGCACTGCCTCCCGTTCGGGAACACAATTCCCGCTTTTCATTTTTTTTTTTTTGATTAGCGCTGTCGTGGCTATAGTTTTTCTGATCTAATTTCATTCTCATCACTCATTTATTTTTCATTAAAGCCAAATCATTGCATAAAGTAGAGAAATTTTTTGAACTTTATTGTGTGGTGAAAAGATTTGATTGATCAGATTGGCTATAAATTGACGTGGGAGTGTGGGCTTGGGGAAACAACGAAATCAGTCAAGAATGGGTGTCAAGAGTGATAGCAGATGAATTGGCTAAGCTGATTGAATGTTTGGAAAAAAAAAAAGCGATGATTAAAAAGGTTAAGCGTCACGGAAACGAAAAGTGTGGATTTCTTCGTAAAATCTGAGCGCATTATGAGAAGTGGATGAAAATTCTTGGGAGCCTATCTAAAAATAATCTGAATTAAAGATTGAAAAGCTTTCTAGAGCTTTCTAGAGCTAACTTTTCTAGTAAAGCTTTCTAGAGCTTTTCTAGCAAAGCTTTCTAGAGCTTTCTAGCAAAGCGTCCTAGAGCTTTTCTGGAGCTAGCTTTCTAGCAAAGCTTTCTAGGAGCTAGCTTTCTAGCAAAGCTTCCTAGAGCTTTCTAGCAAAGCTTTCTAGAGCTAGCTTTCTAAGTAAGCTTTCTAGCCCTAGCTTCTCTAGCAAAGCTTTCTAGAGCTTTCTAGCAAAGCTTCCTAGAGCTAGCTTTCTAGAAGCTTCCTAGAGCTTTCTAGCAAAGCTTTCTAGTGCTAGCTTTCTAGCAAAGCTTTCTAGAGCTAGCTTTCTAGCAAGCTTCAATAAATTTTATATTTTATAATTCTTCGAGCTGGCAACGGGCCACGTTCCACCCTGGTGGTTGTAGACATTCCTTGGATGTTGATGGTCAGTGTTGTTATTGTAGTGTTTCGGCGAGTCCGGTGACCGTCTTTGAGCGGTCATCGAATCGAAATAGGTCTCCTCGTATTGAGATCGTCCAATTTGAGATATTGAGATAGTCGATTTGACGTCCAATCCGATCCGGTCAATCGTCCACAAACGATTCTTTCATCCACCACTCGGCAAGCAAGTTGTTGATGTTATTGATCGATAGATTTGAAGAGAAATAGACTTTATCGGAAGAATTTTCCGAACAATTACTATTTTTTTACGTTTCAAACTATTTAATAAGTTGATTTTCACAAAAATTCGAAAGATATTCGAAATTCGAAAGATTTTTTTGCATTTCACCTCAACCGGATGCAGTCTTTCCGCTTTGTTGAAAAATTTCAATGATTATTATCGAAAAGAGGTCATATTTTCTCAGATGGGAACATAAAACGTGGACATTCCAAAAAATGAGAAAAACGTTAGAAATATTTCGGTTGAACGGAGCTTCGGAATATTGTGAGGATTTTCCCTCGAAATCATTCGGCTTCACAGATCCATTTCAAGTCGGGAAAATGAGAATTTTCATTGTTTCTCTGTTCTTCATTGTATCGGTGGTGAGTCTGATTGATTGAATAACGTTTTTTGAATAACCTTTTCTAAATTTGTCAACCTTTTTACGGTAATCTTAAGCTTGCTATGTAATTTTAAAGCTTGCTATGTAATTTCAAAGCTTGCTACGTAATTTTAAAGCTTGCTACATAATTTCAAAGCTTGCTACAAATTTCAAAGCTTACTACATAATTTCCAAAGCTTACTACATAATTTTAAAGCTTGCTACATAATTTCCCCAAAGCTTACTCACATAATTTTAAAGCTTCCTACGCGATTTTAAAGCTTACCACCCACTCTTAAAGCTTGCTCACGCAATCCTAAGTACCGTAAGCTTGCTTTTAGAAGGCTACGGAAATTTGGAGGATTATAGATTAGTTTTTGCGGGTACGGTGAGTTGTGTTGAGAGCTAGTCTCACCAGTTAAATGTGATTAGGACCAGTTCTTCCCTTTATCCCCTTATCTTTCCTTTTGTTCTTTCTTCCTTCTCTTCTCCATTTTTCTTCTTCCATTCTTCCATTCTTCCATTCTTCCTTTCTTCTTACCTTTCTTCTTCCTCTCATCTTCCATTCTTCTTCCATTCTTCTTCCATTCTTCTTCCATTCTTCTTCCATTCTTCTTCCATTCTTCTTCCCTTCTTCTTCCCTTCTCCTTCCTTTCTTCTTTCCCCCTATCTTTCCTTCTTTCTCTCGACAAGTTAAGGTACTGAATGGTTGAGTGGTTAGAGCAATTGCCAGCAAAAGATCGAGGGTTCAATCCCCTTCAATCGAGGGTTCAATCGGAAATCTTCTTTTCTCAATCCTTTATTTCTTTATTACGAAAATTCGGGGTGGCTCCTTCGCGCCAAATTTTTGCCAGCTCGCTATAACTTTCTTTCTAAGTCGGCCCAATCTTTATGATTTTGGTGTCATTTTGTAGATTTCAACAAGTGTAACAAAATGACACCAAAATCAAAAGACTAGCCGACCTAAAAGAGTTATGGCGAGTTGCGCATAGTTGCACAAATGACCGAGTTGCGCAAAAAAATTTGGCGCAAAGTAGCCACGCCCACGAAAATATCTAAATCTGAAAAGAAAATCGAAGGGTTCGTGCTAAGAAAAACACAAAAACCTGGCACGAAATATCACGAGCACTGCCTTATATACGGATCCTATTGGCTAAAAACCTAAACTCCGCCCATCCCAACCTTTTGTCTCATAACTTTGCATGGATACTATATTTTGAGTTAGTTTTAGTATGATTCGACGCATAATTTTATTCTGCATCGAATGATAATTAAAATAGTCAAAATGGAAGGGTTGGTGCTGAGAAAACACGAGAAACCTTAAATTGCTGCGGCAAAAGGACAGACAGATATTTTCGTTACAAGTAGCTATCGTTCATCCCTTTAATAAATAAAATTTATTCAGTTCTCGGCCCCAATTCCCGGCGGTGCGAATCCAGAGGCTCCCGCTGATCCATCAGAACCCGTCGACCCAGCTACCAATTGTGTAGATCGAGTTGCTTGGTTCGTTTTTAAACTTGCCTGAATATCTTTCAAACAAAGATCGTTCCTTGCCTGAATATCTTTCAAGCAAAGATTATTCCTTTACAATAATCTTTGGCGACTTTCTTTCTTATAATCTCTGCCGACTTTCTTTGTATTCAATTTTGTGAAACTGTGAAACTTCTTAAAAACTCATTTAGGTGTACGGAGTCAATGTGTATAACGAATGTGAAAGAAACCGAGTTTTACAACAAATTCGAGGATAGCGGAGAGGCTAAAACTTTTGTGGTACGGTTGGATTTAAAGTACTGGCTAGGGTAAAATAGGTAAACGACTTAGAAAGACTACAGCAAATCCACAGTAATCTACAGACCGTACAGCCATCTACAGACTGTACAGTAACCTACAGGCCGTACAATAATCTATAGGGCTTACAGTAATCTACAGGCCTTACAGTAATCTACAGGCCGTACAGTAATCTATAGGCCTTACAGTAATCTACAGGCCGTACAGTAATCTACAGGCCTTACATAATCTATAGGCCGTACAGTAATCTACAGGCCTTACAGTAATCTACAGTCCGTACAGTAACCTATAGGCCTTACAGTAATCTACAGACCGTACAGTAATCTACAGGCCGTACAGTAGTCTACAGACCCTACAGTAATCTACAGACCCTACAGTAATCTACAGATCGTACAGCCATCTACAGACCGTACAGTAACCTACAGACCGTACAGTAATCTACAAACCCTACAGCCATCTACAGACCCTACAGTAATCTAAAGACTACAGTTTTCGGTGCAATAAGCCAGCAATACGGAAGGAATCTTTCCCGCAATTCATTCCGCAAATCGCAAATCATTCAGGTCCGAGAAACAAACCCGATCGGGCTGAAATGGACGTGCAAAAAGACGATGCCGTCTCTGCAATGTGCCAACTCCAAAACACTCAACACCTCAGCCGTAAAAAACAATCAATGAGAAACTTCTAATAAAGATTTGTTAACAATTTTGATAGTATTTTTGATAGTATTTTTTTTAAATTTATTCACAATTGAAGTTGTCTATTAGCTTTTCTTTTCTTTAACCCATCATCGGACAATTCAACGGGCAAACGTTCATCTGAAAGTTGAATCCGGCTGAGACTTATTAGAAGAAAGTTTAAAAGGGAAAGTCAATCACCAAATGACCAAATGACACAAGCTATAGATCATTCGACGCACAATTTTGCGCTAATCATAATGCTGATTTTCTTTTTGCTACAGAGCTTTTTTGCTAGGTGTGGTGGCAAGAGCTATATACTGGCCGACGTAAATTTCACGCTGATTCCGAATCTGCTTTCCGTTTTTGCAACGCAGCACTCTATCAAAAGTTATAAGCGTTTCGTCACTTTCATAGCTCAAAGTTTTGTATGGGATTTTAAAGATCCTTTATAAGCATATTTCCCAGGGTCTTCGGGAAGCAGTGGTGGCCGAGTGGTAGTCGGTTAGAATAGAAAGCAAACCCTCTCTGGTTCGACTCCGCAGTTTGGCCTTCTTTCGCTTTTTTTTGGAGGTTTTTGATCTCCATTCGTGCAATGGACAATTTCATTCGGTACTTGGAGAAATGGAGATACCTCTAGAACCTCTAGAAAAGCCTCTGCAGCCTCTAGAACCTCTAGAAAGAAGCCTCTAGAATCCCTAGAAAGCCTCTTGAACCTCTAGAACCTCTAGAAAAGCCTCTAGAACCTCTAGAGCCTTTAGAAAAGCCGACGAAAGTCAAACTGCGGACTCGAACCAGAGAGGGTTTGCTTTGTATTCTAACCGACTACCACTCGGCCATCACTGCCCCTTCAACACCCTTGGAAATCTGCTTGTAAACTCGAGGAATCTTTTAAAACCCGATACAAAACTTTGAGTGCTTACAACTTTTGACAGAGTGCTGCGTTTCAAAAACCGAAAGCAGATTCGGAATCAGCGGAAAATTCTGTGTCAAATGATATATTTGATCTACTTGTTGTCATGTTGTCATTTGAGTGTCGAGTGTCATTTTGGCCATCACACCCGGTTGACCTTCCCTTGTAAATATTAAAGAACAAATTTGATATCAAAGTTCTAAACCAATTGATCGAGCTATATTCTTAGGCAAAGCCAAGCCAAAAAGCCAAGCCAAAAGCCAAGCCAAAGCCAAGCCAAAAGCCAAGCCAAAGCCAAGCCAAAGCCAAAGCCCGAAAGCCAAAGCCAAAGCCAAGCCAAATCTTCTGCGCTGACTCACCGGTTTCAGCTGAATCGTATGTTTGCTGATCGATCCATCAGAATTGAGAGGCGAAGCGGCGACGAACTAAAATAGAAAGTCGATTTTCTTGAGCCAGATTAGGGTGAAGATTTTTCTTGAGCCAGTCAGCCAGCCAGTCAGCCAGCCAGCTAGCCGAGCCAAGATTGGCTCTAGCGTAGAAAGACTTGGCTAAAAAGTAGATGGATAGTTTAGGAGGAAATTCTGGAAAAGCACGAGCTCAAGGTGAGCTTTTGTTTGGACACTCAGTCACTATAGAATTAGCACTTTATTGAATCGGTTATGAGGAATATGAAGCTGAAATCAAAAACAGCCAAATGGCTTTCCAGGCGAGTAAAAAGTCAATCGAAAATTTGCCAATTTGTCAATCGAAAGTCAACGAATGCTCGTGCTTTTTCCCTAAGTTTGCTTCAAACTATCCATTCAGCTGCTTTCTGGCTCGTTTCTTGCTGTGAAATTCTTTGATGGCCTAGTGGATAAGGCATTAGGCTTAATGGAAAACGCTCCACTCACAGGATCGGCGTTCGATCCCTGATGCAGCTTTTTGTTTGTCTTTTCGAGCAACTTCTAGCATTCTTTTTAGTCAATTTGATTGGTTTTTTTTTAATTTCGTTAATTCTTTACACAATTTGCTCAAATTTACATTAAAATTTAACATTTTAATGCAATTAAAAGCTTGAAAGGAAACTCGAAGTTCGAAGAAAATCAGTTTAGATTTCTCTTAAAGCGTTAAAGCCGTTTCTGTCTTTATTTGAAACTTATCCACCAATTGCACTTTCACAGAATCGATTGTCATGAATAATCAATTCCTATATTGTGATGAGCCATGAGTAATCACTAATGAGCCATGAGTAACTTATCCACCAATTGCCATGAGTAATCAATTCCTACTTTGCGAGCCTTACAATTCGCTGCAAAATACTAGAAGCTTTCTAGAAATACTCGAATCCAAAAGAAAAAGGGAAAACAGAAAGCTGGATGAGGGAGCGAACCCTGATCCCTTGGACGAAAGGCTAGGTGCCAACTACCGTAATCTATCCATTAGGCCAGCTACGGTAATCTATCAATTAGGCCAGCTACGGTAATCTATCCATCAAACCAGCTACCGTGATCTATCCATTAGGCCAGCTACCGTGATCTATCCATTAGGCCAGCTACGGTAATCTATCCATCAAACCAGCTACCGTGATCTATCCATTAGGCCAGCTACGGTAATCTATCCATCAAACCAGCTACCGTGATCTATCCATTAGGCCAGCTACGGTAATCTATCAATTAGGCCAGCTACGGTAATCTATCCATCAAACCAGCTACGGTGATCTATCCATTAGGCCAGCTACTGTAATCTATCAATTAGGCCAACTACCGTAATCTATCCATTAGGCTAGCTACCGTAATCCATCCATTAGACCAGCTACCGTAATCTATCCATAGGCCAGCTACGGCCAGCTCTTTCCTTCAGATCCCGTCCGTTCTATTTAATTCTGATCACATTCGACTCACCGAATTCCAGTAAATCGGACAAACTATAAAGGAAAGATTACGGTAGCTTTCCAAACTATTCACCTTTTAGAAAACAACAGAAATTACCTTTATCAAGTCCCTGAACTGGCTTTTTGGCTTCGAAAAACCAATTTGAAAAACGAGTGCGCCAGAAAGGAGATGTTTACAAACGAGCCCAAGCTACACTTTTTCTCCAACTCACATTCCATTGCGAGCATCCGCTCAAGTTGTTATTTCTTGGGCTGATCAAAGACAGCGGGCGGGTTACTGTAGCCATGAGGATTCCATTTTCTAAGATTTCACACTATTTCGACAATATCTTCTTCTTACTATAGCTGAGAGTTTCAGCTTTCGAGTTTGTGATTGAATCGATTGTTGTCGGTGGTCCATGAGCTGTTGTTTGTCCTAAAGTTTATGAGCTGTTGTTTGTCCTTTTTTTTTTTTGTCCTTGTTCATTTCAATCAATCAATTTGCATTTAACTAACCCGTCAAAACGATTGGTTTATTGTTTTTCACTTCGAAAACGATCACTTCCAAGTTTGTCTGAAGAAAAATTGGATTAAAAGTGAAGGGGGTTTTCTATGAAGTGCAATTTATGGTCTAAATTTGTAAACGAACGCTTTCTAATCATCATTTCATCATTTTTCATCATTCTTCTCGCTGCTGCAAGAAAAATGATGAATTCAGTCTGGTAGAAAGGGTATGTTTATAGTTTTGATGAATAAAGGACTCACCATCAAGTTCCAAAAGCGATTCCTGTGTACTGTTGATTTGAGAGCTTTGAATTCATAAAATTGATCGTCAGTTGCCCGTTTGATGTCTGAAATTCATAAAAGAGATCATTTGAATAGCTGAATATCTTACTAGCTATCGCTAGCTGAATATCTTGGCTGTATTCTAGGAATAGTACCGTAACCCTTTCACTTTACTTACAACAAGTAACAATTTACAAAAACATAACCCCGAAAACCCGTGCTCAGTGATCTGTTGGCTAATTTAATATAATCTAAGGAACGTAATCTTCTAGAGATCTCATAAATACCGTAATCTCTAAAACGTACTCTATAATCCTCTAGATATCATCACTACCGTATTTCCAAAATCTACAGTAATCCGGTACGTCTGAATAAAAAAGCTTAAGCCTGGGCCTCAACCTATCCTCAACCTATCCTCAACCTAGTCCTTAACCTATCCTCAACCTAGTCCTCAACCTATCCTCAACCTAGTCCTCAACCTACCCTCAACCTAGTCCTCAACCTACCCTCAACCTAATCCTGAACCTAGTCCTGAACCTAACCCTCAACCTATCCCTCAACCTACCCTCAACCTATCCTGAACCTAGTCCTGAACCTAATCCTCAACCTATCCTCAACCTAACCCTCAACCTATCCTCAACCTATCCTCAACCTATCCTGAACCTAGTCCTGAACCTAATCCTCAACCTATCCTCAACCTAACCCTCAACCTATCCTCAACCTAGTCCTCAGCCTACCCTCAACCTAATCCCTGAACCTAGTCCTGAACCTAATCCTCAACCTATCCTCAACCTAACGCTCAACCTATCCTCAACCTATCCTCAACCTATCCTCAACCTACCCTCAACCTAATCCTGAACCTAGTCCTGAACCTAATCCTCAACCTATCCTCAACCTATCCTCAACCTATCCTCAACCTATCCTCAACCCAATCCTCAACCTAGTCCTCAACCAGAGTCCTCAACCAAGTCCTCAACCAAGTCCTCAACCTAGTCCTCAACCTATCCTCAACCTAGTCCCCAAAAATTGGTCGAAGGGTTTTCAAGAAATTCTTTTATTTTCGAATTCAGCACATTTTTCTGCGTCAATCGACTATTCAAACGTAAAAATCCTATAGAAAACGATTTTTTTGTCTTATTTCGAGCGGATTTGCAATGCCACAAAGAAAAAAAGTGAAAAACAGATGGTAATCTTTAAGCTTAATAACTACCGTATCCTTAAAAGCTACAGTACTCCTCACCGTCCAATTCGCCACAATATTGTCACCCGAAAACGAGCATTGAGCCAAGGCCAAAGATACTAAATTCAGATCCAATTTTAGATAAAAAGTTCAACCAACTAAAAGCATTTAACAGTAGAAAGTCGAGCATCTTTGGAATGATCTTTCCCAATCGAATGTAGTTTTAAATAGAAAGACAGAAATTTCTTTCGACTTTTAAACCTTTTTTACTGCTTATTTGCTTAGTGGGTGGTGGAATTTTAGTGGAATTTTGCCTTTTTTTCATGTCAACTTTGAAATTGCTCTTGTAGTCGTTTTGCGATTTGTACCCACGTTGACTCTCTTTCTTTCCTTTTCTCTTTCTTTTCTCTACTCTGTGATTACATGTTTGCTTTTGAAAGAGTGAGAATAGTGAGAATTGGGTGAAAATTCAAAACGTTTTTCGAAGTAGACAGCACGATTTTAAGGTTCGATGAGCAAAAATTGTTATCGTAAAGACCAGTTGTCTACAAATTTGATTCCTTTTCTCTACATCCAGTTTTAGACCCAGCCACCGTACTCTCGTGATTCTTATTCTATTATTCTACGGGTGGGCCAAAATTACCGTTACAATGCTCACTCACGTGCAAATGCGAAAGCGAAATGGAAGAAAGCAAACGGTAACAACTTCAGCAAACGTCGAAAAAAGTGAGGAATCGCCTGTTGAAAACGTCAAACTAATCGGTGCGGAAAATGTCACAAAAATGCCATCATGCGCCATCCTGCCCTATGCCATCATCCGCCATCCTGCCCTATGCCATCATCCGCCATCCTGCCCTATGCCATCATGCGCGATCCTGCGCCATGCCATCATGCACCATCCTGCCCTATGCCATCATCCGCCATCCTGCCCTATGCCATCATCGCGATCCTGCGCCATGCCATCATGCACCATCCTGCCCTATGCCATCATCCGCCATCCTGCCCTATGCCATCATCCGCCATCCTGCCCTATGCCATCATGCGCGATCCTGCGCCATGCCATCATGCACCATCCTGCCCTATGCCATCATCCGTCATCCTTCCCTATGCCATCATCCGCCATCCTGCCCTATGCCATCATGCGCCATCCTGCCCTATGCCATCATGCGCCATCCTGCCCTATGCCATCATGCACCATCCTGAACGTCCATCCCTTAGAAGAATCATGAAAAACAAGCTCAAGTTAAAGGCCTACAAGAAAAATAAATCACAAGTGCTATCAGTTGACGCTATCAACCACACAAAACTGTTGATAGTTTGAAAAAGCGCTCGAAAAAGACTTGGGAAGAGCGAGAGGGTATAAGAGCTGGATCTCCTATACCTTCTCGCCACGATCGACGCTTTTCTACGACGTTTGGACGTCTGTGTAAAAGCTCTTGAAGATCTGTTTGAAAAGGAATAGTTTCTAGGAATTGTTATGAGACAATAAAAGTTATTTTTAAGAAAAATCTTCGACCTTTTGAGTTGCTTTTTATACAGAGACTACAGATGTAACGGTAATTTTGGCCCACCTTGTATTCTATCAGAAAGTCGTCAAACGTCATTTTATCTTCAAAATGTTATAACTTTTTTGGTGAGTTGACCAATTAACACGATTTTGGTTTCAAAATGACCGCAGACAACATTTTGATAAAGTCTACTCGCTGGCATTTCAAATTTTTGTTTTCATCGAGTAGTGTAGGGCCAAATGCAGGTGAGTTTGGCCGTTTCTGTGTCGAATCTACAAGACGTTTTTGATAATTTTTTCACCATTGAATTCAGCACATTTTTCTGTGTCTATTCAAACGTAAAAATCCTATAGAAAACGCATTTTTGCACGGATGTACCCCACCACCTCTTTTTCTTTGTTGTTGTTGTTGTTGTTGTTGTTGTTGTTGTTGTTGTTGTTGTTGTTGTTGTTTTTGTTATTGTTGTTGTTATTGTTGTTGTTGTTGTTGTTGTTGTTGTTGTTGTTGTTGTTGTTGTTGTTGTTGTTGGTTGTTGTTGTTGTTGTTGTTGTTGTTGTTGTCATATATCATTGTTGAAATTAAATTACAAATAAATTTCTCTTAAGGCAATACAATACAAGTTGTTGATTTTAAGTGAGAAAGAGGATTTTCCCTTGAATCGTTTCCGTTTTTATAAATGGCGAAGAGGAAACAGTGAAACGTTTACGCCATTTTGTTTCACCGTTGTGGACACCTGAAAGTGATCTTTTTTGGTTACTGTAGCTGGAGGACAGACTGTAGACTGTAGACTGAAGACTGTTACTGTAGACTGTAGACTACCGTAAAAACTAATCAAAGAGCTTTACTATACTAGAAGAGTCTCCTTTAGAGGAGGGTTGAAAAATAGAAGAGCTCTCTATATTAGAAAAGCTCTATCAATCGAAGAGCCTCTTGACGGGCGATGATTTAACAATGATCGATGAAGGAAAAGAATTCGTTCAGTTAAACGCCTGGAAAAGTCTTCCAAAGGCTTAAGCTTAGGCTTAGGCTCAGGCTCAGGCTCAGGCTTAGGCTTAGGCTTAGGCTTAGGCTTAGGCTTAGGCTTAGGCTCAGGCTTAGGCTCAGGCTCAGGCTCAGGCTCAGGCTCAGGCTTAGGCTTGAGGCTTAGGCTTAGGCTTAGGCTCAGGCTTAGGCTCAGGCTCAGGCTCAGGCTCAGGCTCAGGCTTGGGCTTAGGCTTGAGGCTTAGGCTTAGGCTCAGGCTTAGGCTCAGGCTCAGGCTCAGGCTCAGGCTCAGGCTTGGGGCTTAGGCTTAGGCTTAGGCTTAGGCTCAGGCTTAGGCTCAGGCTTAGGCTCAGGCTCAGGCTCAGGATCTAAAAAAAATACGCCTAAAAAAGCTGAAGAAAAGTGTCAAAAAATGTCGATTTTTTGTCTTAAACTAATAAAACAAAAAAAATTATATTTTTATTAGTTTATATTAGTTTATTGTACTATAGTTTAACTTATATTATAGTTATATTTTAATAGTTTATTATTATGTCTATAGTTTAACTTATATTATAGTATTTTAGTTTAACAAATAAAGAATTCTTTTTCTGCATCGAAATGTAAAAAAAAGCAAATTTGTAAGAAATGATAAAGTAAAAAGGTTTTCTGCGGGATTTTATGCAATTAGTTCGGACGCTAGTTCGAATTTAGACGTAACAGATACAAAGGAAACATTGTAAACTTATTGTAAACACATATAGCTTTTGTAAGCTTATTGTAAGCTTGCTCTAAACACACACAGCTTTGTAAGCTTACTGTAAGCACATACAGCTTTGTAAGCTTATTGTAAGCACATACAGCTTTGTAAGTTTACTGTAAACACATACAGCTTATTGTAAGCTTACTCTAAACACATCACTCACTTTACTCCCCATCCGTTTCTCCACTACAAGACGGTCTTTTCCGGAATGGCCGTTGTTGTGATCGCCTCTGAAAACTCAATTTTTACACAATGAGCAATGAGCAATGAAACAGAATTCATTCAACACTAACTTTCTTCTAATTCTCTAGGCATACAGGCGCACCAGAAAGAATGTCTTTACATTTTCGAGCACAAAGTACACACAAAAGAACAAGTCTACTATTAGGTTGTTAACCCAAAAAGGGCGCTTTTTGCGTATGACTGTTTTAAAACTATAACAATTTATTTCAACAACATATAATTAAACAATGTAATCTCCGCGTTTGGTTTTTGACATTCATCCATCTTTTTGGAAGTTTCTTAAGTCCTTTCTCGAAAAATCGGCATTTTTGAAACCAAAAAGTCGTCGATAGCGTCCCGTACCTCAGCTTCGGTCTTGAAACTTTTTCCCCGTAAAAATTTTTCAATGAGAGAAAAGATGAAAATCCGACGGTGCAACGTCTGGGCTGTAAGGGGGATGATCCAAACGATTCCATCCCAGAGTATTTTGCACAAACTGAGTCGATTTTGTGGCACGATGTGGGCGAGCATTGTCTTCGAGGAGATTGACTAGACCAATCCATTGTCCATTTGCGCGCATCGTCACCAATCCATTTTCAACTCTTTGCATATGACGAATATAAACGTCAGCGGTAAATGTTTGACCGATTGGGAGTAGCTGCCAAAAACAATGGTCCTCGCGAACACCAGTACATACATAACATCTGTTTCTTCCCATGAACATCGCGTTTTGGGACCGCAGCTCCAGTTTGCCCAGGTTTCAACCATTGTTTTCGAACGACTCTTCCATCATAAAAGACCCAGCTTTGATCGTGTGTTACTATTGTATCCAATGGAAGCCGTCCATGACGATATTTGCTCAAGAGGCGGTCGCACAGAAGAGCTCGTTTGGCTTTGATTGCTGGAGTCAGTCGGTGAGGAATTTGTTGTTGCTTTCTCCACTTGCGCCCGGTTTTTCAAATATTTCCACATGGTTACGTGCGAAAAAGACCCGCATCAAGTTGTCGTGCCGTACCTTCAGGATTTTGCCGTAGTCGTTGCCAAAGAATACGACGATTAATCTTGTTGTGGCCTCCCGCTTCCACTCTTCCTCTTCATGTTTGTTCGGCCATTCCGAAACTTTTGAAACCATTTTTGGGCTGTGCGAGTAGTCACAACTTTGAATCCATAAAAATCGTTGATTTCCCGAGCTGATTCGGCGGCAGATTTGTGTTGTTGATAGCGATGGTGCAAATCCTTGTGCCATACTTCCGGGGTGGGTCGATTGTTGTTGGCATTGCTCCCGAGAATGGGAAACCTAAACCAAAATATTTGATTAAAAATTGTAAAAATTTATTAGAAAAACAAGAAAAACAAAGAAAATCTTGAATGCGATCTTTGTAATTATTCCAAAAACCTTCATGCACAAAAGCGCCCTTTTGGGTTAACAACCTAATAGTTCTTTGTCGCTTTATATAAACGAAAGCTTTCTGGCGCACAAAACAGCAGATCAGCTCTAAGACAGCTCACTAAAACTCTTACTATGATCGCCGTTTCGATTGAAAACGTGTGACAGTTCGACTCAGTGATCGCGGCTCGACCGAACCTTTTCGCGAATCGTTCTAAATATTATAGTACTGTAAAAGTACATATTACAATATTATAGTACTGTAAAAGTACATAATACAGGTATTATTCTCAAAAATCTTTCAACAAACTTGTTAAGAATGAAGTAGATAAGCGGATAAATGCCACTGTTGAGAATCCACATGAAATTAAGCGCCATATAGGACCAGATACTGGCCGGGAGAAGCACCTGAACAAATTGAAGACTAGATTGAAGACTAGATTGAATCGAAATCTAGACTAGAGAAGGTTTCATCGTTGAAAAAGTTGGCTCTTGTTCATTTTCCGTTGGAGTATTCAGGTTTTTCATGAGTAGCAAGCGCTTTCAGGGCCATAACTTTACTTAGAGATAAGCAAAATAATATAGTAGCGATTCTCCGACCTCGAAAACCCCCAGATATAAATTTACGACTGAATATCTTCTTCTGTCATTTACAAAGCTAAAGAAAATCCCTATGTAAAAGAGCTTGAAGTGTTCTTTGTGGGGGTGCGTAATTCGCTCTTCATCTGGCACACGGCCCCTATAGGTAGCTGCTTCCTTTTGGTATCCATAACAGAGGTGGGAAGTGGTGAACGACCGACGAACGACCGACGAACACAACGAACGACGAGCCCGTTACGACGCTTTGGGATCAGTGTGCCCAAACACTCGGATGGAGTCAAGTAGCAATTGCGAAGCGTTCCGATTCTGCATTCAAACATATTATCGTACCCGGTCAACCCGCAAGGCCAAACATGACGGCAGAAGAAAGCCCAAACTCTCCCAACGAGCCGAAAGATTGATTCTCCGACAAGCCTCCAACTCAATGAACTTTCTACTTTCTTGGAAACGTTTAGAAAAGACAAGAATCTGCCCGTTTGCCAGAAAACTGTTCACAACGTGATTCTTCGATCACTCATTCTCAAGCTCCGAGTCTTCCGAGATGAAGCATGAAGCAAGCCCGAGTCTTCAGGGAGAAAGCTTGAAGCAAGCTCGAGTCTTCAGAGATTCTGTGCTCCAGTCAATCTTCATTTTATAAACTATAGCTTTCAGTTCCCATTTTATAATCTGTAGCTTTTTAGTATTTTAAAACCATTAAAGTTTCAATTTTGTAATAGATTACCTGATAATTATGCCAAAAAACGTTCAAAATTGTGCAATAGACAGTGATGACGATGGCTTGGATCAAAATTTTCGCTTCGACTCGATAGTTTTTCGAGGATTTGAAGATATGCCTCTGAAATTATCCCCTTAGTTTTTAGAAAATAATTCTAATTACGAGAAAATTTCTTACCGTTCGGCAAAGGAGCAAAAGTACACCGCCATAGAAAAAAGCGGCCACGAAAATGCCGCCAATCTCGATCACTTCCTCGACTTTTTGCACAACAATTGAGAGATTGTTTGGCGGAGTGTACACGTAATCCCAACTTCATATTATATATTAAAACTTATATTTTTGGTTTAGTTTAGAATCGTAAACAAAAGTTTAGAGTAATCCTGGCCTGGTCAGGCTGGCTAGAACAGTTAGAGTAGCTCCGTCCTGGGCCAAGTCAAGGCCAGTAAGCCAGCCAAGCCAGCCAATCCAAAGCCAGTAAACCAGTCAAGCCAAGGCCAGTAAGCCAGCCAAGCCAAGGTCAGTAAGCCAGCCAAGCCAAGACCAGTAAGCCAGCCAAGCCAAGGCCAATAAGCCAGCCAAGCCAAGGTCAGTAAGCCAGCCAAGCCAAGGTCAGTAAGCCAGCCAAGCCAAGACCAGTAAGCCAGCCAAGCCAAGGCCAGTAAGCCAGCCAAGCCAAGACCAGTAAGCCAGCCAAGCCAAGGCCAGTAAGCCAGCCAAGCCAAAGTCAAGGTTTTAAGGTCAAACTCCAATTAATTATAGAGTCACTCCAAAACTATCAAGAAAAGTTTCTAAGAATAAAAAGTAAACAAGTTAAACGACAAATTAATAATCAATAGTTTCACCAGTTTTATAACTCAATCAGCAAAGCCAAGGCCTAGAAAACTCAATTATTGTATTCGTCTCGAAATTTTCGTATAATTACAAGAAAAGATTCATTAAAGTAATCAAAAGAAAACATCGCAACTTGATGCTGAACAAATTGAAATCACTTTATAAAAAGAACTTTCTTATGTAGGGGCACTGGCTGGCATTGGTGAACCCAACAATCGACAAAATCTAGCAACTAGCGATTTTTTTGCTAGATTTTGCAATCTCAGCCTGAATTTGAGCCTGAATCTGAGCCTGAATCTAAGCCTGAGCCTGAGCCTGAGCCTGAGCCTGAGCCTGAGCCTGAGCCTGAATCTAAGCCTGAATCTTGGCCTGAATCTTGACCCTGACTTGAGCCTGTCTAGAAATATCGATTTAAGCTTAAAAGTATTATAACCTAATACTTTTACTTGCTCTACTTTTTACATTAAGTTAGTATTACATAATTTTACAATAAGTTAGTATTAAATTAAGTTAAATCTATAGTCTTGTATTAAGCTTAGCAAAGGTAAAACAATATTTAAAGATTCAATAAAACTTTGATCACAATTTGATCACATTTTTCTACCTGTACGCATCCGGATAATAGACAATACTGGCATATGGAGAAGAGAGAGCGATCATGTAAAGAGACATGATAGAAGCCAGGCCGATCCAAGCCTAGAAACGAAAGAAAGTTACCATATTTTCTCTAATAGTAGTGCATCCCGGCGAGCCGAGTTGGTGACTATTTTACAGCTTTTAAAGTTTTCACAGAAGCTGCAGAAGCTCAACACTCAAATCCCCCATAAGATCTCATCGTCAGCTACATTTTCCGACCCCACATCGATAGGTTCTGATAAGCGGTTCTCGAGATTTCGAGGAATTTAGGCGGCGCTCAGGGTGCATTACTATTAGAGAAATTACTTTATTTGTTTGTAACTTTTAGTTGAGTGTTTCAAAAACCTTTACTCCTTTCGATGAAACAGCCATCGATCCCATGTTGGAGAGGCTAATTGAACGAAACGATTTATCGCTAAGATGACCGTCATGATCGCATAAGCCACATAAAATGGCGTCGCCAGGACACCCATTATCTGAATACGTCCTAGATAACGAGCCTAGATAACGTCCTAGATAACGTCCTAGATAACGAGCCTAGATAACGTCCTAGATAACGTCATAGATAACGATCCTAGATAACGTCATAGATAACGCTCCTAGGTAACGATCCTAGATAACGAGCCTAGATAACGTCCTAGATAACGATCCTAGATAACGATCCTAGATAACGTCCTAGATAACGAGCCTAGATAACGTCCTAGATA